CAGCGACTGCGCGTCGGGCACGGTCTCACTCTTTGGTCGGCGTGGCCCTTGTAAGTCCATTTGGACTGGGCCTTTGCAATGCTTTTGGGCCTGTCGGGCCCAGTCCAGAACACTATCTAATTAACTAACTCAACCCACTTTTCTGATATTTTTTTGAGTGAATTTGACCAAAATTCATGGATTGACCCAAACCCATTTACACCTATAATATTATATAGGCCTACTTCTTTCTTAACATAGCATTGCACCATTATAAAATATCCAAAATACATGTAAAAAATGTGAAAAAGTGAGTCTTATTTTTAAAACCAAAGGATGAAAAAGTTAACATAGCATGTCACAAATGGCTCGCTGATCAATGCGTTCAGTGGAAGGGATTGCTCTTGGTGGGAGACATGTTCGACTGAATAATCCAAATGCGATGAAAGCAACAGCTTTTTACCCGACTCCATTAGGTTCAAGAATTAACAACTCATTGGTTTTGAGAATTACATTCACGCATAACATAACGTTAAAAACATTCATGCATGACACTTGCCCTTAGTCTATAGAATTGTATGGGGTGGTTTACAATTCGCACCGGTTTATATATATATATATATATATCGTGAAAACATGAATATATATATATATATATATATATATATATATATATATATATATATATATATATATATATATATATATATATATATATATATATATATATATATATATATATATATATATATATATATATATATATATATATATATATATATATATATATATATATATATATATATATATATATATATATATATATATAATCGATTATCTATATGTGTGTTCGCATATATATAAAATATATATAAATTAAGTAGTGTTGACTCGTCAAAAATATATATTTTAGTAGAAAATTATAAGAAATAATTAAATAGCCATCTATCTATATTTTCGTATGAGTCACACAATGTTGTTATAAATAGTAAATAAATATAATATATTGATATTTATAAATATATATAAAATATAAAAAAATTAATAAATTTATCAAATTGTAATAGTTATCGGATATACATGAAAATTATGTTATATGAGTATATGTTTATCTACATGTGTGTTCGCATGAGTCACACAATATCATTATAAATAATTAATAAATATGATAAGCGATGGTTAAAAAATATATATAAAAGATATATAAATTAAATAGTGTCGATCCGTTGAAAATATATATTTTAATAAAAAATTAAAAAAAATCATCTACATATGCGTTCGTATGGATAATATAATGTCGTTGTTAATAGGAATAAATATAAAATAATGATAATTAAAAATGTATATAAAATATAAAAAGAATAACAAATTTGTATTTTCATAAAAAAGTTTTGTATTCACCAGTTATAATTGTATTTTTTTTTTTAATAAACACAAATATTTAAATTATTTTTTAATATATATGTTAACATTTTATCATTAAAAATTAATTTTGTTTTCTCTCATATCTTCTCATAATATTATATATCATTTTTCATTAAGCATATTTTTCATTAATGTTTTAAATGTATTTTGTAAAATTAACTGATTTATAATAAATAATTATTATTATATTTTTAATAATTTTCAATTACAAAAAAATCTAATTTTAATTTTATTGTTGTTAAAGAAAAAGAAATGAGATCAATCGTTAGTTAGTTCATTAGTGATAGGCGTTGGAGAATAATATTTTATAAAGTTTTCAAAATACTATAAAATATATATATTACATATAAATAATTTATAAAATAATATTTAATATTTCATATTTTCTTTATAATTATAATCAAAGCTATTTGCAGTTATATTTTCTTTTGAAAAATATGTATGGGAGAATACTCAATATTAATAATTATGTATAAATTAAAATACTAAATTACAATATTTAAAATTAATTACATTTGTAATCCTTATAATGAATCTTGTGTAACATATTTTGACCATTTTGACCACTAAAATTAATCTTTATAATGAACCTGGTGTATAAATAACATATTTTTGACCATTTTAACCACTAAGATTGTTTAGAGAAATAATTAAACTATCCAGTATAAAATATAGTTTTCCCTTCCCCATTTTCATATGTTATTTAATTAATATTTTATATTCATTTGCTAAAATATAATAATTAATGCAAAAAAAATCATCAAACCAAAAGTTCTTATAATAATGATCAACAATTAATGTTTAATTTTATAATAATGGTCATTAAATATTATTTGATATTGTAATAATTGAAAAAATATAAACTTTTTTATTAAATCTGTTGTATTTGAATATTGAAAAGACTATATTTCAATTTAAATATGTTTTTTTAATCTATACTTTTATGCAAGATAAAATTAGCTCATAATTAACAAATTTGGTATAAAAGTTAGTCAATTTTCTTTTCTTTTTAATTAATTTTATAGATAATGATCAACAGAAAAAATAAAAAATAAAAAGTAAAAACTCTTGAATAAAAATAACTCCTTAACCCAAAAATAAAAACTCCTTTAATTTTAATTATTCATTGATCACTCATTTAATACTATAACTCTAATATTTTAATAAATAAATTATTTGAAATAATTATATTAATTATATCATATCAATTAAATAATTAAATTGTATTTAGATAATTAAATATTTGTGAAATACGTTTCATTTTTTAAGCATATTTTTTTACCCGTACTTATACTCGAGTTCTGATATGTATCCATATCATTACAATACAGACCATCAATTTTTTTTCTTTTAAAAAATATATAAATTTATTTATATTAATTTTTAATATTAAAAAACGCATTAATGAATATTTTCTCCTTTTTAATTACTAAAAATTGTTTTGACAATATACATAAATAATAATAATAATAATCAATAATTAGTGATATAAACTTTTTTTTATTAAATACATAAAAATCTACTCTGTTATATTTCAACCTTGAAAATATTACATTTCCACGAATGTAGAAGGGCATCATATAAAATCGTGTAGCGAAAGAAAATGATTCAAATTTCTAATATATTATTAGGGTTAGAAGGACATCATATAAAATCGTGTAGGAAAGAAAAATGTTCAGATTTCCAATGTAGTATTAGGGACAAAAGGGCATCATATAAAATTGTGTAGGGAAAGAAAAAGGATTCAGATTCTCAATATAGTATTAGGGTGGGAACGAATAGCTTTTCAATGTAAATTTTGTTGAAAAGATTTATTAGTAATGCATCCTTAATAATTTAGGGTCTTCTTGGCATTGTCCCTTCTTGTCACCACCATTTTCATCATCAATGATGGCAGTTTTCTTCTCTTTGACATAAAAAGAACATAGTCAATTGTCCTGCATCAGATAACAGAATAATAGAAGAATTTGTTGTATATAAATTATTTATCTCTTTTAATCTTCTTCTCCTATAATCTCCGAATTAGATTAGCAATCAAATAGAAGAAAAAAAGATAAAATTGATTGATTAATCAACAAGTCAGTGTTTGATCCAATGGCAACAAAGTAGCAAATATTCAGATGAAAATTTGCTAAATAGTGGATCAAAAGGTAACTAAATCAATAAAATTTTGCATTTGGAAGATCATCAATATATCAATATTGCTAAGGAACTGAACAAAGTAAGTAACTGATTCAATGCTTCTGTTGTCTGAAATAAATTTCGGCCATCCAAAATCAGAAAGATACCAAACATTAAAATAAAAATAAAAATCAAATTTTTATAATATTTTTTAAATCACTGACAAATAATGTTTTTCTAATTTTCATAATCTTAAACAAAATTTTCATAATATAAGAATACAAATTAATAAAGTCCCTTCTAATAATTATTAATTTCACAAAATACAAAAATACATATGAAGATCGATCAATAAACTAAATCTAACTTATGAAAAATCAAACTTGAAACGATTTCATAACTGGTAAGAGATGAGTTTATAACCCAAATAATATTATTAAAAATGGAAGTAAATCCATATCACAATTTTCGAACCTTAAAGAAGAGAAAGAATAAAAAATAGACCAATATGTAAAATCAAATCAAATAAACCTCATAATTATATGTAAAATATACTAATTGTTTTGTTAACTACCTTTTAATAACACCATACAACAATGGAAATCGTCTCCACTCTATCAATCTTACCGTATTTTCTAAAAAGTCTCTCAACATCATATTGTCTTGAATCAAAATCCAGGTTTCGATAAAAGTTCAGCTTCATTTTTTTCAAAGCTTAGAAATATTTATATAACGAACCTGTGAAATCGAATGGAAAAGAGAATGAAACTCTAAGAATTGGCAAATCTGATGCTCCATCAATGGATCGGTACCTTTTTCAAAAAAAATCAAAACACAAGACATGTAATGATTACTGAAGAAGATGAACGATAAAAAGATAGAATATGATTAAATAAAAGATAGAATCTGGTCTGAACGAATGAATAAAAGAGGAATGACAAAGGTCTATTGTCTGTTTCCAATGCGTTAGAATGAGAACGTTCCAATATAAAACTAAAACGTTTGAGCGACTATGCATTCATCCAATGCAAAAGTTTACTGTTTTTAATCAAGGTACATGAATAGATTAAGTAATGATTATTGATACGAAATTACTTTTAGGGGCACTGATTAAACTTGTTTAACAGCTTGAATTAGGATATTAAAGTAATAATGCTAGTGTATTACTTTATTATATTAAAAGTACATTACACATCTTGGCATTTCATGGTTGCGGAACATTCTTAAATAACTAACATCTTGGCATTTCATGGTTGCGGAACATTCTTAAATAACTAACTTAAGTTCTGATTTGAACAAAATCGTAACAATATTTTGATGAAAATATATAATTTTTTTGTTTCAACATCACAATCACTGTCCCAACAAGATCTTTAATATCTTTTTCTGTGGGGCAAAGGTCCAACCACAACAATAGAATACAAGTGTTTAAGCTAAGGTAAGCAATTAAACTTCCTATGTCATATAGGCATTGTTCAGCTGATGACTTTCTTCAACGCAGATTCAGCACGATGCTCGAAATTTGGTAAGGCCCAGTCATGCTGAGTTATGTCAAGATTGTCTTTCTCAACACTCAGACCCTGAAAACAAGATTAAAGGAAGAACGTAAGATTTGAGAATAGGTTTGTTAGAGACTACACTAGGACTCCTTTGTCACAGTTTGACAGTTACTGTGTTGGAATAGACCAGGCATCTGTCATACTTCAATTTAGTTTCCCATTTTTCGCCATTCCAAATTAAAAATGAAACTGCAAAAGCAAGGAGAAGTGTATCCTACTTTGGAACCCCTCGTTGTATATCTAATCCCCAAACAATTAGCAAAACAATCAGCGGACTATTATTTTTTAACCTTCTCTTATACACTTAGTAGAATCACATACATTTTGCTTCACTTTGTGCAAGTGTTCAATTTTAACTCAAGTGTCATCCTTGGTGAACAATTAATCATACTACAGAACCTCAATGGATATTATAGCATGTAATATTGGGGGAGTGGGTACCATTAACTATTCATGGAATAAAACTGTAATTTCCAAGATTGACCTTCAAATTTATAATAAAAAAACATCTACAGTAAACTGCTCATATTTGTACCTTTGAAGGATCAAATCCGAATCCACCACCCATTTGCATCATTCTTTGTGTATCATCTACAGCTGCATACAAAACAGTACACATCAGAATCCAAATCCCAGTAATGGTGGAAATATGGACAAAAACTGATGAGATAATTAAAAATGCTCAATGTTCAAGTCCTTAAATACAAACCATTTTCTTCCCCCAAGATGAGACTAAACAGTCCTCTTAAGCCAAATAGATTGAGGAAGTACCTGCAATGCAATCATGACAATTAAACCCAAGTAAGAGTGGCTGTGTGTGTGAGTATGAAAAAGAAGATTACCAAGAGCGACTGCTGACGTAGCTAACATCCACTGTGCTGAGGTCTATTCCATTCTGTAACATTGACCTAAATCTCTGAGTTAATGGAAAGGGTATTTTGGCTGCAACAAAGTTGAAAATATTTTTTAGGTAAATAACAGAAGCAGGGAATACAAGACAGTTCCTAGCAGATGACTATATCATAAAACAAGAACAAGGAAGTGATATTGAGTTATAATCGCTTTGAAGGTAAACTGTACTGTTTGCTTGTAGTAGGTTGAGTGTAAATCTGATAGTTCTCTCGTGTGTTCAGTTAATAAAATTTTAGTTGAATAATTGACAGTGGCTGTTACTCAGTTTGTAATGGAATTTCCAATTAGTGGTTTGCACTGCAGGCTCACTTTGTACTTGTATACTAGACCGATGTAAAGCTTTCTCATTAAAGAAATCAGAATATCAAACTTGAGAAATGCCCTTGATCTCTTTCTCTCAAATTCTCTCATCATTCAGAATTTCTTCATAGTATTATAGCATGAATAAGCTCCAATCATGGCTTCTGATTCCAAATCTTCATTGCTACTGAATTTGCTACTTCATCTCAAGCTCACTAGACCAAGTCCTTCAACAATAGTCAACACAAACTTTGTTCCAGCTTAACTCTGGTAGCTATCATGGCCAATCCTTCTGTGGCCATGGAGGAACAGTTGGTATCATAGCATGATTTAAGCTCCAATCATGGCTTCTGATTCCAAATCTTCATTGCTACTGAATTTGCTACTTCATCTCAGGCTCACTAGACCAAGTCCTTCAACAATAGTCAACACAAACTTCGTTCCAACTTAACACTGGTAGCTATCATGGCCCCAATCCTTCTGTGGCCATGGAGGAACAATCGGTCAGGCCACAATACAGTGTCGAGTTTGTTGGAACTTGGAAGTACAGTACAAACTATACATCAGATGTATGATCTGCAATTTCATGATCGTAAAAATGGGGGGCACTAAGGATATTGAGGAAAAGGGAGGGGGTATAGGGGAAGTGGTGCATCTTTGGCTAAGCATTGTCTTCATCGAATGAATCTTCCGGTTCGACAGCGAGAGAAACTGTTAGCGGGGATGGTTGGAAGGAGTCTAACAGAAGCCGCATGGAATAGGGGTGGAGGCAGGGGAAAGGAAGAAGGAAAACGGGAGAAAGAGAAAAAAAATTAGTATGGGAGGTCTATTGTTAAATCTAGTGGACCTTCAACATCCAACGGCAACCAAATGTGGTCTATTGTGGAGCACCTATAGTAGTATTCTACAATAGTACAATAGTATTCATACTTAAAATGTGAGACTTGTAGTATTGTATATTCTCTGATGTTCCCTATGAGTTAGAATTGGGTCTCTTGCTAAACTTGCATTTCATATGCTTTATTTTACTTCTATATACTCCCTCTATTTCAAAATGAGCTTCACTTTAGCAAAGAAAATTTGTTTCAAAATGAATTGTCATTTTCACTTTCGATTGTAGAATTCATTTTCTTTTTTCAATTATACCCTCTTACTATTACTATATGCACTACTCCAAAAGGATTATATGTCATTTTACATCTATGATTGTGGGAAACACGCCATTAGCTAATAACTAGTAAGGTTAGTTTAGTAAGAGAATCATGTCTTGTAACAACTTTATTGTAAAAACCATTTATGACACTCATTTTGAAATGAAAGTTAGTTGGAAATTGAGTTTTTTAGGCTTATCACTATATCACAAACTTCTCTTTTACTTTATCTCCCATCTTCCCAATGAAGGCTATATATTATCTTCAAAAGGCATCTGTTGAGATACCGTCTTTTGGATATGTTAAGCAAGTATGCCTTGAACCAAGAGAAAAAGACTGAGGCTCAAAGTTGACCCTTGGTACACACTATTAGTTGTGGAAAATTTTCTATATTTCCACCTTGTATTCTCAACCTAGTTTTGACTTTTGAGCCCTTGGTACATATCTTTAATGGCTAAAACGTAATCCAAGATTCGTTTTTCTGAAATATTTCACAAAACCCCTCTAGGTACTCTCTCATATATCTTTTCAATACCAATAAAAACCGTCTCGAGGTATTTTTTAATTGTTTATTTTTTCCATCAATCTTCGTAGCAAGTATATGGCTTCCATAGTAAATAAATCAATACATTATGTACTTATTCCGGCTGCGAACTGTATATTTAATATTTAATTATTTACAAACAGAAGAACTGGCATCTCTGACAGTGTAAAATGACAGAAATAAACAGACCATGAAGAATATGAAATCATGTAGAGAAGAAAACTACCGATCTAGTATATCAGTATGATAGACAGAGGGGGCAAAAGGAAGTATGAAACATTACCTGCTACAAATCCAGAAAAGAAAAAGTTCACCCAAGCAAAAGTAAGAGTCTGCCCAACAAGAGGAGACAATACGAGTTAGTACGGCATTTCATAATTGACGATAGGTGGATTAACAAGCAAGGAATATGATAAAAATATATATAATGAAAGAGTAGCGTCAAACTCTATTCTCAACACCTGTGGTATGATCATTGAAAGGTTTTTCTTCATCATATCCATGGCCATGTTCGGATCAGAGAACATCTGTGCTTGTGGATTCTGGGCTTGGCCCTTCGGAACGAACAACAGACCATTTTCCTTTAAGGAAAAATTGACAAAACAACAGCCATATTACACTTACTTCAATCATCTCCCAACTGAGTATCAAACTATAACATACAATAAGAAAACAAACCTCATTACAATAATAAAGCTTCCGAGCACGAAAAGCCTTGGAAGGGATAAAATTAGCCGCCATCCGTAAATTCCGAGCTCTAAGCATAACTTGCCTGTATCAAAATCACCACAGCACTCATATAATATCAAATTAAAAAAGAGTAAAAAAAAAATCACCTTTAGAAAAAGGTCAAAATAAAAATACCCTTCTCTGACAATTTTGGCATCGGGAGTTTGAGTAGACCGCATAAGCTTGGAAACAATATGACGGAGCACACCAATTAGAACCATAACAACAGATAAAGGGATCAAGACCCAGTCTCTGATTGCAGTATCCAGCACCAGATCTTCCGCCATTATTCTAAAACCTAATTACAAGAAATTATGAATGAATAACCCTAAATCATGTATTATTTGGATTTGGTAATTGAATTTGAAATTAGAAACAAGGAACGTAGAATTTTACCGCGATGTAGAATCTGGTGATGAATTGAGAGATGCGTGAGAGAGAAAAATCAGTAGAAAAGAGAGTGTTGATGATGATGGGTAAACCCTAAATCTCAGTATTGGGGGACAAGATCGAGAACTGGAAAGTGAGGATGTTACACAGCCGGCAAACTCGTCTCGATACGCTCTGTTTTTGTTAACAACACTTTCACGCCGTGTGTTTGATTTTTTAGTTTAAACCGAAGAGTAAAAATATCACATTATGCGATTTATTTATAATAAAAAACTATTTGAGTTAAATTAATATTTTTATTTAATTTTATATAGTTTAAAATTAAGAGAGGTCATTATGATTTCTATTTTTAATATATAAAAACTAATTACCAACGCAACTATTTCATTAGCTAAATTAAAATAGATTAGAGAACTATAGCTAAATTAAAACAGATTAGAGAACTAGTAAGAACCACATGCCATGTGTCTAGATTCATATTATATTTATTAATGACTAGAATATTAAGTATGATATCATGTTTTATAATTTATAATTATTTATCAAATTTTAATTCATGTGTTTGGAATATAAAACATAATATAAATTATTTTGTAGTTCATAAACATTCACATAGTTTCAATTATATACTAATAATATGTATCAACTTTTAAACATTGATTCATATGTATAATAAATCGTATAACTATTTTTATAACTTCAATTATATAAAACAACAAAAGAAATAGTTAAAAGATAAACATTAAAATGATCAGTCAATAGCTGGTATCTCATAGATATGTTCATATCTATCCGTGAATATTTAATGAACTTCAGTAAATCTAAATGAGAGCGGACCAAAACTTTTTAAATTTAAAATAAAGAAACTATTTTGGTGAATCAAATAAAATTGAAGATTAAAATTAAAAAATAAATAAATGAAATAATTAAGTATTCATCTACTTGTGTGTGCGGTCGCGCAATGTCATTTTAAATAAGAATATTAAAATAATTATTTTATTACCATAATTAAAATATGAAATTACATGTTTATGACTCTATAATGGGAATTTAAACAATCGCTCTTATCAATTATTGTTCACTTATCAAATAGATAAAATCATAATAATTATAACTATATTTTTATAAAGAGACAAAATTTACTTTTGATGTGGTGATACTACTTCATGTCATGTATACTAATTAAATAAAACGATAATACATAATTGTAGAAATATAAAAAGAATAATAAATTTATCTTTCTCATAACAAATTTATGTATTTTTTATCATAATTATCTCGTGTTCTTTTATCAAAAACAAATATTTATAATATTTTTTTTAGTATAAATGATAACGTTTTATCATAAATAACACTAATATTTTTTTATAAATTGAAATTTTAATATAATTTATGATATTTTAATAGTAGTTTTAATAATAGTTAATATATTACTAACATGAATATCATTTATCATTTTTTAAACATGATTACCATTATAAAGTTAATTTAAAAAGATGTTATTTCATTTTAGTAATTTTATAAATTTAAAAATATATATTTTAATTAAAAAATTAAACATAATTAGAGAATAAATTAATTGTGAGATATTTATCTTTATTATTTAATATTTGTAATTTATTTTCGTTTATAAAATAATTATAACTTATTCAATTTATAAAAATAATTGTATCATTAAATTTTTATATTTTATCATTAATTTTTTATGATTATCATTTATCATTAAATTTTGAATAATTAATCAATAAAAATATTTAAAAAAAATTTAATATCATTTTATTTTTCTTCTGAGTCAAAAAATAATTATAATTTATTTCCGTTTATAAAAATAATTGTATTAATAAATTTTTACCACTTATCATTATTTTTTTTCAAAAATATTATTTATCATTATTTTTTCATGATTATCATTTATTATTTCTTTTAAAAGATTTTGTTTTATTTTATTAATTTTATAAATTTAAAACAATTATAAAATCTCTATTGATTTTGTTTTATTAACCTTTTGGCCGACTAATTATTAAAACTCTTTGAATTTAAAAAAATTTATAGGTTGAATTTTTAGATTTGTAATTGAAAGAGTTATAATTGAGTCATTTATAACCAATTATTAAAAAAAATATTGCATACTAAAAAAACATTGAAATTTAATTTATGATACTTTTTATTTATTAATTCATATTCTTATCTTAAAATTAGTGTTATATTAATAAATAAATTTGAAACATCATTTTTTTTACTATTTGTTATAAATAATATTCTATCCATTTAAATGTTTCAGATTTTGTTTTGTCAAATTAATAATAATTAGTTAATTACATTGTAAACTAAATTAATCATGATTAGAATTTTATTTTTTGTTGGGTAATACTCTTTCTAATTAAATTTTTCATATGTTTTTCAATTTAATAAATAAATTCCAAAATTTCCTAACAACTTTTTTACAATTAAACATAAATTTAAAGTAATTCTATTATTTATGTCCTAATTGTCATTAGATATTTAAACACAAATTTAAATTAATTTTATTATTTAGGTCCTAATTGTCCTTAGACATTTAAACACAAATTTAAACTAAATTAATTATATTATTTAGGTCTCAATTCCATTATTTTTCCATTAATGGCAATAATTTAAAATTTAAACTCAAATGTGATTTTTCATATTCGCATAGAACCTATAAATAACACACTTATTTCATTTGACAGACATTTTCAATGTTATATAAAAATATTTATAATTTATTTTCGTTTATAAAAATAATTGTATTAACAATAGAATTTTTTGCGTTTACAAAAATATATATAACTTAATCCGTTTATAAAAATATTTGTAACTTTTCTCAATAAACAACTAATTATCTTTTATAAAAAACAATTAATTATGATAAAATTATACAAATAATTATGACCAAAAAGTGTAAAAGCTTTTACATTTTTACATTTCTAATAAACAAAAATCTATATTAGTTAATTTTTTATTTATTATGAATGTATTTAAAGGTTTACAAACATACCTAATTTAAAGTTGTTTAATTAATCAATCATATCTTTTTTACATGAGTCACATTTTATTAAAATATATTTGTATATAATTATTCATTAGTTTTATTTAGAGTTTTATTTAAATAATTGGCTTAATTGCAACTTTGATCCCTCTATTTTGTATTTTTTTCAATTTTGATCTCCTCATTTTAAAAACCACGATTTTGATCCCTTTTGAATTTTCTATTAAAAAATTAATAAAAATATAGACTAAAATTATAGAAAAAAACAAAATAGAAGGACGAAAATTACACAGAAAACTAAAAAAATAAATTAAAATAGTGATTTTTAAAATGGAAATCAAAATCGGAAAAAAATACAAAATAGAAGAATCAAAGTTGTAATTAAACCTAAATAATTTTAATTAAAATTTTAATATATTTAAAATAATCACATTAATTAATATCCATTAAATAGTGTAATAAATATTAAGATCTCATATTTAAACAATTTCCAGTGAAACAAAAGAAAAATCAAAAGAAAAAGAAGAGAAAAAAAAGCTTAAAATCTTGAAAACCTGAGAGTGAGTGATGTAAGAATCTATAAGCAAAGAATTCATCGAGGAAGAAGAAGAAGAAGACGCGTAAGAGAAAAGGAGAACGTAACCTGAACTTGTTCGTTTTCCATCTCTAATTTTCTTTAACCGCTTTGAGTTTTGAGGATTGAAACGTACAATCAACCATAATTGCTGGTTGTGGTTGTAATCGTCGTTAGTGAGAAAATTGAAATGGAAAAGAATTTAAGCGCAACGCTTCCTTCGGTAACCGACATGAGCACATATTGGAAAAAAATTGGAAAAAAAATGGAAAAAATTAGAAAACAAAGAGATGTGTTTATATGAAGTCATGTAAGGAAAACCAGTTCTAATTTTCTTATAAGATAAATTTGTAGCTATATCAATTGAGTAGCAACATGAGAAAACGCAATGAATTTCCATTGTCTAATAATTGTTACTTATCGTTGGTATAGAAGAATCTAATGCTCATCATACATTATATTTATTATAAATTAGACATTTAAGCAATGTAGTAATAATTCATTTTTAACCCTGGAACCAAAAAAGTTAAAACTTTTAGGCAAAAAGGATAGAAGTGGTTTTTCCAGGTATTTTTATTTTTATATTTATAGATTTATTTATTATAAATATTATAGATGTCTTTAATGCCCCTAAATTTAATTACAACATTTAAGCATTAATTAACTTTAAAATCTCATTTATTAATACTATTTTGCAATAGTAATGATGATTATTAGCGTTGTAATTAATATTCCAATTAATATCATATTTTTTAATTTCTTTTAGATGATGGTACACGCGCATGTTGTTGCATAATTTGGGAAGATAGGGCAATTATATGTTTTCCAACATAACCTGCATAATGAATATTGCAGTGAAAAACGTAAAAGCTTCAACTTTTACCAATGCAAACAATAACCATCCCACTATAAGAATGAAGCAAACCTAAACACATGCTACCACCGGTTTCTTTTCCATACATGTATGTATGATTGTGTTTTTGTAAAATTTTGGGTTTCTTGCTTTAATACAGTGAGAGAACTGACTTGTTTTGCATTTTATCACAAATGTTGCGGATAGCAAGACTCGCCACTGACTTTTCTTTTATCCAATAAGGAAAGGATGAAAAGAACACAAAAGACCTTTGAGATTTTATTGAGTTCGGGGGGTAGGTTATGAAAAGTGAAGGTGTTAGCACTTTTTTCATCTGTAGTTATCTATAAGCTCTTAATTGCTAACTCACTTTGTTTGAAATGTTTTTGTGTATGTGTTTGAAAATATTTTAAAAATGCCTAAGTACGGCAAACTTTGTAATAATTCACGTATCAGTTGAGAA